AAGTTCTCAAACATCAGATGATGTTGACATGGAGTGAAACAATTTAAAAATCTGTCATACTCTACATTTCTCTAAGAAATTCAAGGAAGCATTTGTATAAAGATACAAAGAATTTTGGTAGATTTTAAGGACTGTGTGACTCTGTCCTCAGAGCATGTTGTCCCCAGATGGGGATTGTGGTTGTTCTATGCTCCCTTTTGAGCTCTGCTTCAAGCTGCCCACCTCATAGTATCGCAGACTCATAGAATGGTTGGTTCCAACTCTCCTGCCATGGGCAGGGACACCTTCCACTAGACCAGGTTGCTCCAAGCCCTGTCCAGCCTGGCCTTGAACACTTCCAGGGCACACACAACATCCCCACATCTGTTTAGAGTGGTTGCATTTAACAGGACTCCATCAGTCCATCCCTTGTGGAGAGCTGGATGAGGAGTTTTTCACAGAGAATAAGGGTAACAAGGCCTTAGGAGGGAGAGGATGCTGCAAGACACCTGGTTATATGTTACTGCTTAGTGGTGTTGACAGAGCTGGAGGTTCTGGCAAACAGCTTTTCAAAAGATTCTTTGGGCAACATTGCTGCCAGTGCTCAAGCTCAGGGGTCCTGCTGTATCTTGCTTCAAACCAAACTTGCAGCATCACTTGTAAGTAGAAGGGAGCCTGTAATGTGCATCAGACCTGGAAAACCCCTAAGTGCTCCTCCCCAGTGGGTGCTGTCGTGCTTCCCTCCCAAGCACAGCAGCTGCCTTCCCTTTACACCAAGGCAGCTCAGCTTCCTTGGCCCTTCTCTTGCCAGGTCACCACAGCCTCTGGAAGCAGCATGCAAGGAGACTTAGGGAATCTCTGCATGGCTGTGTTCAGAGGAAATTGAGCTGCTCAGGAACAGGCCTTGTCCTTTCTTCCATTTTCCCCTCTGATGCCCAACTGAAAATCCTCCTTGGAGCCTTTGAAACCTCCTTCTCTCGTTGTTTGGGTTATTCCAAACCTTAGAACAGCAGTTTGTCCTGTATGCGGGAGGGCAGAACCCTCCTGTACAGAAGAGGTACACATGGACCATATTCTCAGGATCTGACTTGGCCCCTTCACTGATGCTCCTGGGGCAAAACACATTCAGCAGGAAAAATGAGGTGGGTGATAAAAATAACCCTTCAGAAGAAACAAGTTTACAGTGCAAAGAGACATGCCTGCAACACTTGGAATATTACAGTCTGTTTCTTGACCTCTAGTTAAGGGGTTTGTGTGATCTCTGTAACATCCTCTGTGTTTCTCAGCGTTTCTTTTAAAGAGTCTGTGAAATTACCAAATAACCTAACCACAACCTAATTCAGTTGAAATCCTAAATTCTGGCTTCCTAAGAGCTGCGTGGAGCTGCCAAGTTTCTCTTGAATTTTAAATAAAGCATGATGTGGATGTGGCTCTAATGTTTCCTCTTTGTTTTCCTCACACAGGATTTCAACAAGCGTTAGAGAACTGGAAAACTTCAGGAACATCTTACAAAATATGCGGTGAATTCCTTGGAGAAAGAGAGACTTAACTCGTTACTGCTCCGCTGTTGTAGGTTCTCTGAGAAAGGACAAATGCCACTGTTCAGTCACATTCCCACCCACAGTGTGGTGAAGACTACTTGCTACATCTCTTCTTCCCAGCCCAATTGTCTGGAACCTGCTGATGCCAAATATTTTGTACAAGGGGAAGAAAAAAAGCTATTTTTGTTTTTATAAAATCAGGGACTATATGTAAAATTTTATTTTATATATTGGAAGATTCTGCTGAAAAAGTCTTTAAATACTGCTGTACTATTTGGATGGATTAGAATTATCTCATTGCCTTCAAAAGCTGGAGGGAGGGCAAGAACTATGACACTGAATAAATTTGGGTAAAATTCCTTGTCTGCTCCATGATTCCAACCAGCACGTCAACACTTTGCTGCATAAAAACCACTGCAAGGGATTGTAGGAGCTCACGGTGCTTCAGATCGGCTGCTATACAACAGTGCCTTCCTGTTCCTGCTGAAACTTCCTTGTGGCAACAAGCATTTCCCGTGGGCTTCAGCAATTGCTTCCCTTCTGCATGGGAGATGAACCACGCCACAGCACGCTGGAGGAGCCCTGATACTCACCATTAGCCCCACCATGTGCTTCCGTTGTGGCTAGAACCCCATGGGAGCAGCAGTACAGGGGCCATGCACCTTGTAAGAGGTTTTGAACTCTTGTGGGAAGGAGCAGGTAGGATGGGATGAGGCAAGTGTCTGCCCTGCTGCCAGGAATGAGAGCAGTGGCAGAAAACAGGGTTTCATTATGAGCCCCACAAAGCTGGTCTGCTGCCAGCCAGTGCCCAAGGGCAGCCCTCTCCTCACTTAGGGCAAGGGGAGACAGCTCTGCCTTGCCACCTGCCTGTGGGGCTGCATCCGGGAGCTCTGTTAGAGTCTCAATCATGCAGCAAGGGCTGGGATCCATCCAACTTTCTGCTCTTCCAGGTCTGTTACAGCACGTTTGTCCTCTTTCTGGCTCTGCTCCTCTTGTGCTAGTAGCCGGGCAGGGCTAAAAAGGGAAAGGACATCCCACAAGGGGCTCTGCTCCATGGCTGAGGCGAAGTTGAATTTTGCCACTCCAAGGACAAGCAGCTGGGGCAGTAGGACAGAGAGCTGCAGGATGGGACAGCCTGGCCACCTGGCCTTGCTGCCAGCAGGTCCCGCAGGGAGAGCACAGCCCTGGTTACACCATCCGTCTGCACAACAGGGGCAAAGGCTGGGTTCACACAGCCAGAGACCAGACACCCCCAGCCTGGCCCCATCCAGCAAGGGGGGGGGCAGCAGCCTCACTGCTGCTTTGCACCCCAAAACACACTGTGGAAGCATGCAGGGATAGGCAGCATGTTTTCCAGCTGAGCCACTGCTATTTGTGGCAAGCTCAAGGCTACACACATAAACCTGTGCAAGGAAATCAGGGCAGCAGAGGACCAGCCCAGAGAACCATCATAAGATGAAACACCCTGTAAGGGTAGGGGGGAAGAGAGCAGTTCTGCTCTTAGCAGCCTCAGAAAAACACACCCAAAGGGAAGCTGCAGTCCCCCCAGAAAACCAGCTCTGGGTGCTCTGCACCCAACCAGATTCATACCCAGAGAAGGACTTGTGGGGATGCTGCAGTCACACCAGAGCAAAGCATGGGTTGGCCAGGACTGAGCTATGCTGCATCCCACTGAGCCCATCAAGCAACAGCTTTACCAAGTCTTGTCCCTGTCCTTTTTCACCATGTTTCAGCAGCACAAGCAGTGGGTTGGGGCCCTGTGCTGGGATGGCCAAGAAGGCCCCATCCAGGCCAAGGGGGGCAGCAGGGCCACAGGGAGCACTAAACGTGGGCAGGGCTCTGGCAACCCAGTATGGAGTCTTTTGTTTTATTTCAACATAGTAGTGCTTGGTTACAGTTTAGTGAAGAACAAATAGGTACATTCATTGGCCACAGCTTCCTGTTGCAGCCAGCTGCTGCCTGACTGCAAAGCCAAAACACTGTTAAACCATACCAAAAAAAAAAGTTTAATGAAAGGCAACTATGCATTAAAAAAGTCATTGTACTTCTCAGCTATAAATTACTTCAGTAAAACACAGGACTGGCCCCAGGAGGAGCAGTCAGAGTTTTGAAATTAACGGCCATCCGTACAAATCAGTAAAACCAAACCACTTTGCCAGTCACTCATGAATACATTAGCAACGCGACTCACTGCCCTCCTAATGCCAGGAAGATCGTAGTGTTGTTGTGTGCTTCAGTGCAATATGAACAATGAGCCTGTAGCCCTTTAGTTTTTTAATTTTTTTTTTTTTTGCACTACACTCCTTTCCCTCCAGGGAAAAACTTAAAGTGCTCCTAGTGCTTTGGAATTTAAGCAAGAACTGGGGCCACTAGCGTCACTTACTGTCTTTGGTGACTTACAGGAGAAGAAAGAAGGGCAATGCGCCAAGTCCAGGTCCTACATCAGCTCTGCCCTAAGTCAAGCAGTGATCAAGAGGGAGCAGCCTGGTTGGAGGCAAGGGGACAGGCCCCTCATGCCACATACAGTGGAGCAGCCAGGGGAGCCACAGCTGGTTCAAATACTAGAGCAAGAGGGAGGTGCTGAAAGTTGTCACCTCAGAGCCTTCTTCAGAAAGCAGCAGGGGCTGCCCCTTTATGTGGGCCAGCAAGAGTGAGGCAGGTCAGCAGGGAGAGGCCCACCAGCCAGCACAAACCACACAGACAGGGTGTTCTCAGTGGGACAAGTGACATCTACCTGGGTACAAGCAAAGTGGGTGATCAGTGACCATGCCCTACTAGTGAGCACAGGGCAGGTGAAAAGTGAGGGGAGGCCAGGGCTGCTGTGGTGCTTGGGGTTTCTCTCTCAGCTGCAGACACAGAGGTTGCCTTGGAGTCCCTCCAGCAGAAGACCCCAGTGCCTCAGAGCCAGCACCACTCCACACACAGCCAAGTCCTTCACCCAGCCAGTCCCTCAGCGTCAGACTAGGGTTTGAAGAGCAGGAGCAGCTCCAGGTAGGTTAAAAGCAGTCCCAGTTTGAGTTGTCACTAGAGGGCAGAGCAACTGCCTTCCCTGAGCCAGTGCCTCCATTTCGGTGTGACCAAAGCTCTTTTGCTCATCCCTACACCAGGCTGAGGGACAGGCCAGGAATAACATCAAGGTGAGAAGTGAGGGGAGGCAGGGGCTGCCCTGGTGCCCTCATCTCCAAGAGCCTGATGGAGCTACAGCCCAGGTCAAACTTCAGCTATTTTGGTTAGAGACAGAGAATCCTCCACCCAGCACACTCCAACCCTGTGCACACCACTAAGCGTTGCTGACACAGCTACTCCAGCAGTGGAAGGACTCAAGGCCTCATAGAGGACAGAGCAAAGAGCCCTGGGGTCAGAGCTCTGCAGCATCTGCCACCTCTCTGTGCAAGCCTATAGACAGGCACCTCCTGCACCTCATGGGGACCTCACCAGTTCACATTCACTTCAGGTTAAAACTCCTGGTTATCTTTGAAATGCAATTTAATACTGAGGGGGAGGAAAAGGGGAGCCCCACTGTGGGTGGAGAAGAGGGGGAGCAGAGCTGCTCCCACCATCCAGGAGTTCAAGCAGCCCAGGTTTTTTCCATGTGCTTTGGGCCACACACTCTTGCCAAGCCAGCTCTAAGCTTTCCCTGTGAAGGCAGCAGCCTATAAAGTTTTGTCCCCTCACTTGACAGCAGCTACCATCCGAGCCAGCCCTCTTCCTTTCCCATAAGCTAGTGGGTTGATTAACAACATGGTGATCATAATGCCACTAGGAACACTAGACCTCATCCTCATAGGCCTCCACTAGGATGTGCTTTGAGCTCAGCTTTGAATCCACAGTCCTAGGTAGGACAGTTCAGCAATCAGGTGAAACTAGGACCAGCAGTGGGAGGCAAGACCCCACTGAGCCTGGTCACACCAGCCCTGGCCAGGTGTGAATATGGCACAGTATGCTTCAACACTCACAGCAGGAGGCTCTGCCCACAACACACTCAGTAAACAGAGCTTCATGCTCCCAAGTGAGTCAGGATGCAGAGTACTTCACAGAACACGTCTTTGCAGGAAGACAGTGCCTCTCCCAGCTATGGATGTGCAATTAAAAGAGTAACTAGAACAGTCTCAGACCAAGCAGTCTGAGCAAGATTCGTTCCTTCCAAGTGTGCAGATAAAAGTGCAAATATGCATTTGATGTTTCTTTTCTAGTGAGGAAGCTCTGGTGCATTTAGCTGCCAACATCTTGAAGACCAGACCAAGAAAAAGCTTCCAGAAAGTTCAGCTTCACTTTGCTACATGGTACCTTAAAGTCACAGTTCTCTTGCTTACTGCATGCAGCCATAGGCTCAGTCCTGCTCACAGCTGCAGCAGGTAGTGGAATGTTTGTGTCGATGAATTAAATGCTTCAGGAAGAAGGAAAGAGAAAACCAGGTTACAATCCTATACATGAATGCCACTTCTGGGAAGAGAGGGACCTTGCAGCCTCTTCATTTCTGTGGTGCAGCATATGGGCTATGGTGATTATTCATCTCCGAACCGCCTGCAGCAACGAGCAAGGGGGCACTGTCTGCAGCAGTCCCGCTGAGCTGTGGACCCACCATGTAGCTGTCATTCCCAGCCAGGGACCCATAGCAGCCCGAGCACTGAGGGGTGGCCAAGCTGGGAGGAGAGACAGAAAAACCAGACATGGACTCTTAGAGGTGAATTATTTGGCTGTGGTAGTCTCCACTGCTAGGAAAAACTGCTGCACAGATCAGGGTATCCAAGTCTGCAGATTCAGGCTATGCTGTGCAGGTCGGGTATCGGTTGCATGAAGGCCAGTTCCAAAAGCAATACCAGCCCTACAACACTGGCTGAGAGGAACCAGAACCTCTGGACCCCTCACTATACCCCTGCAAAGGTGGAGTTCAGGGCCCTGAGCAGCAAGTGGAGGACAGGGCTGTCAACTTTCCCTCAAGGGTTTTGCTGTGGATATCTGACCATTCTCCTCCACACCAGGTGGAGTCTTGTCCCAGCTGGCTTCCAGAGAACATGTCCCTCCCAGGACTTCACTGCCTTTTACTTCCCAGTGGAGAAACTCCTCTGGATGTCCTTCAAGAGCCCTCTACCCCCACAGCTGAGGAAGGATCCTAGCAAGACCAACTCTCCTGTCTGTTGCTACTGCATATTTCTACTTATGAGCGCCCACTGCAATATCCACCTCTCAGAGTGGTCACTTCTATTAAAGCTGGCTCCTTGTGAGCTGCAGAAGGGAACAAAAGCTCCGTTGAAAGACTTCTTGCTCTGTCCACCTCTCTGAGGCTGCCTATTATACCAAGTCTTTTTTCCCCACCAAGAGCAGAAGCCAGTGCCTCTGTTGCTTCCACACAGGGCAAACAGCACAATGCTTACCCTCCTTCTCTGGCCCCAAGCCGGGACAAGTCATCATCGCTGTCGTAGCGCCTCGGATTGTCAAAGAAGTAGGCTCTGGAGCTGTAACTATGACTATTTACCATCCCCGCTGGAGTCTGTTGAAGACAAAGGAGTTATGCCAGAACAGAGATGTTTCTGACAGTCTACCTAAAGGCCAGCCCCACAGCCCATGCAGGCTAGGGCTCCTCAAACTGTAGCAGCTTGTTCGGGCTTACCAAGTTCTGACTGAGTCTCTGAGCCCGGAAGAACAGCACCACAAAAGTTGTTGGCATCAGCTCCCAGAGGAAGAGGACCACTCCAAACACCACATACTCTTCACTGCTCACTTCTGCATGCACCTGTGAATGGAAGTTAGAGGTCTCTCTAACCATAGCCATTAGCAGAGCTACCCAGCTCCCAAAGCTGGACACAGCACACAGCTGAGAACTAGGGATACAGAAAAACTCTTATGAGGGCAGGAGTCCCTAAACCAGAATAGTGATTCTTACTTGACTGCTGCTACTGGTTTTAGTGAGAGAGTTCTCTCCAGCATGCTACAATGGCACTGCTAAGCTCTCTCCCCTGACCAGTGACTCCCATGCACAAAGCCATGCCTGATTAAGCATTACTCTTCTGCTCTAGTTGACTTGTTCCTCATCTCCCCAGAAGAAGAGTTGGCAGACTAAAATTGAAGAGCTCAACAGAGAATCCATCCTGAAGTAGCAGCCAGATAGAGGAAGACTGAGGTTTGCTCTGGTGGAGAGAGCAAGCAGGGCTTCTGGAGGCAGAAAGCCAGCTCATCTGGGTATGCAGCTAAACAGACACCCCCAGAGCTCCATTTTCACCTACACATGCCCTCACAGGATGGAGTAACTGCCTTTCACTTTACTCTGGATAGGGGGTCACACTTACCTTGTCTGAAAGGTTGTCCCAGCCATAATTAAAAGGCCCAGGAACATTGTCTGGAGATATGGCCACAGCTACCAGGTTATAGCAAGCCCTTGAGGAATATAGAAGAGCAACTACAGATCCCACAAGAATAGCCTGGCAGACAGATGTTCCCTAGAACAGGAAGGAAAAAAAAAGTTTTAATACACACCTTCCTACAGAGCTGCAATTTCCTCCCTCTTCCCTTTAAAAGCACAAGGGGCTGTGCAGGCAAAAATGACCTAGAATATTTGTATGTTGCTGCTAAAATATTCAGAGCTGGTTAAGAGCTATCTTGTGCTACGAGTTCATGGCAGTAGCAGACCTCCGCAGCCAGTGTCACCTGGGAGCAGGGAAGATGTGAGGTACAGGAGTGTCACCGTCAGCTTCAAACTGGTGGTCCAGAGAGATGCTATCCCACACACTATGGTAGTCTCCAGAAGGCCAACCAACAACCATTAAGAAAATCAAGCTGCTGCTTCTAAACCCCGGTCAGATTCTACAGCAGCAATGCCTACCTGGTTCATTCACTCCCCAGCAGTTCAGTACCCCTGACATTCCTAGACAAACACTGCATTCAAAGCTGCCCAAATGTTTGGGGTAGGCAATTCTGAGAACAAGCAGAAAGACCCAGCACCTGAACTCCAGCACTGTCGTGGGACAAGCCAGGCTTTGCTGCACACAGAACAATGTGTAAAGGGTAGCTAGCTGTCCTGTGCCAGTGAAAGTTTTCCTCCACAGCATTTCAAATGCAGTGTTCTCAGAGGACAGCTGAAGAGCAACCTGAATGTCACAGTACCTATCTTTCCTCGACAGCTAGCCATAGGAGAGGAAGCCAATTGATCTGCAAGCATCTCAAATTTATTTGCTAAATACATACTTGAAGTCTTTTAATAGCCTGCTGGCAGCCACCAAGTTAGTAAAGCAGGCAGGCAAACACATTGCAACAGCTGGCTCACCTTTGTATTTAAGCATTTGCTCAGGAAGCTCATCTCATTGACCTGCTTCACATCCAAGCTCTGGGTATGAGAGCTCTATTTTCCTAGCTTTAGAGCATTCACTCAAGGTAGGATCTTGGAAGAGTTGGCATGAAAGTGCTGCTAACAGACAAGTCCCTGTGACACCACTGAAGCACAAGAACACAGCCTGCTCTGGCACTGTTAAGCTGGGCCCTTGGTGTTCAGGCCAGCAGAATAAGAGGCAAAAGGCTAGGGATGCAAGTCTTCAGCTGACAAGGACCACAGTACAGAAGCTGGCTGCTCCTACTCAAGTGAGAAACAGCTTCAACCTTCTACCTTTAGTGGTGGAAGAAGCAGCCTCATCAGGCCCCTCCAGCCTTGGTGTATTGCTTTGAGTCAGCAGGTTCACAGCTGGAGTTCAGGAGGAAGGACAACCTTTTCAGGCATTTGTGTAACCCTTCTGCTTATTCCCACCCTATTTTTGCAGCTCCACAACAGAAGTCAGGAGATGCCTCCAAGGCAGGGAAGGGATAGAGCATTTAAATGTAAAAGACCTTTACCAAACAGTCAGGCTGGGTATTCAACAGGAGAGCAAGCTTCTCTAGAGCATGTTGTACAAGAGCACAGCCCGCAGGCAGCCTCAGGCACATAAATAGAGAAAGCTGCATTCGTAAACTACTGCTGGGTGAACTTGGCAAGTGTCCAGAGCTGGATACCTGGCCCATACAAGCAGGGATATGCACAGGTTCTCAGCTTAGTCATGGCTCCTGTCTCACTTCAGGTCACCTGGCTGCAATCTGAAGACTCTGCAGGCAACTTCAGGAGAGCCATTTAGGGAGCCCATCTCAGCCACCTACTGTCTGGGCAACCAGCAGTACTCTTTGCTGCTTAAGAGGCCCAGATTTCTACAGAAAGCCTCAATTCAACCCTGAGAGCACAGCTCTGGCTGCCCTTTCATGAAGAGGAAGGCAGTGGACTGCAGCTCTTTAAGCAGCCATGCAGACGGCTTGCTAAGGAGCAAGGAGATGTCTCCAGCCAATGCAAGGCAGGTGTCTGGATCCAGAATGTCTTTGCAGCAGTGTCTGCTGCAAGGGACCTTGTACCCAATTCTTCCTGAAGCAGAACACTACTATCCAATAGGCATGACAGTGCTTTAAGCCCTTATTCATTCCTGACTGAGGGCACACTGGAAAAAAGGTCTCCACAGGAGGCCACAGCCCCACCTTCTAACACTTGGAGAGAAGGGATTCAGAGCACAAGGACTGATGAGCTGTACTACTGGGGAAAGACACTAGCTCAGCACTAGAGGCAGGCAGCTGGCTTCAATACGCCTGACCATGCTCAGCTGCTCAAGTTCTTCCTACAGATTTTTCCAGGATACTCCTGTCTGCCCTTCTCAACAGGTCAGGTCCCTACACCAGAATAACTGCCTTTGATAGGAGCAATATGGCTTCCCAGAGGAAAAGGAGGCAGCTCAACTTCACACTTAAATGCAGCCTACTGCTACAATAAGACTGCTGGTGGCTTACACACTTTCCTATCTGCTTGAGAAGAGCTGTGCATATTCAGACCCTCAACTGCCTTGGGGCAGGACCTACAGCAACTTCTTCTCCCCTTCTAAGATGCTCATCTCACCAGGACAGGGTAGCATTGCCCCTGGCTCAAGTAATCAGGCAGCTAAAGCCGGACTGCTGGGGGATCCCCTTTTCAGAGAATTGTCATACATCTGCCAGATACAACAACCTGCTGCAGACCTTCCTGGCCTTGGTGCCAATATACTGCAGAAACTGCATCTGCCATTCTTAGAGAACCCTCTCATCCAGACAAACCCTAAATTAAGACTTCTAAACCTGAAAAGCATAAGCAGCTAGGTCTTCTGTCACACCAGCAAATCTGTGGACAGTGTATCCCTCTAAGGCATGCAGGGTACTTCATTTCTATAGCAGGAGCATGCACTTTCTGTGGGAGGGAGGAGTTTAAGAGCCACCACCTCCAAGCTGGAAGGAAAATTTGAGCAAGAGTAGCTCAGGTGTCACAAGGTCAGCATTGCTCTGAGTAAGCACACAGAGATATAGTTCAGAATCCAGCTGATGACTGTGCAGTTCAAGTGCAGTTTACAAGGCATTTACCTACCTTAGACTCGAGGTAGACATTTGCTGAAGACATCTTCCCTAGTTTGCACACGCAGCAAGCCAGTGAGATGGCACAGAAGATGAAGAGGCTGTCGTTGACTAGGGCACGGGCAAGGACTATCCACCTCAGCTGGTTCTCTGGAACCTCACCATGGATTAACATTGCACAAGTTAAGTTCACAACTAAGAAGAAGAGGCTGGTAAATATGGAGCCCAGATACAACAGGACCCTGGAGAGATGGTGGGGGCAGAAAAAAAAAAAGGCGCTTGAGTCAGATAATTCTGGACTCATTCTGCACCACCCTCCTATTTCATCAGGCAAGAGAGCCTCCCAGCATGCCAGTGTTCTACTCGCTATGAAGATCAGACATTCCAGCAAGTTTCAGTGGTTGTACTGACAGCCAGTCTGCAGAGTATTTGAGCTGCTCTCATAATGCATGAGCAATGTAAGTAGTCATGAGTTACAAGACTCATCTTCTGACAGTCAGGTTCTTATCTTGCAGATTTTAAGTGTAGCTCTAGCTCTGCATTAACTCCAGTCAATAAGCTGTGAGTCATCACAACCACTGCAATTTCTTTATTGAAAGCCACTGGAGCTCACATTTTCCATTGTGGGTTTCCCTGGAAATGGCCAGTAAACACTTAGGCTGCACAAGCACAGGTGTCACCTATTGCTCACGCCTCATCCTGCTGACCTTTTCTGGGGTGGTACAGCTCAGAGTGACCTAAAGAGTACATCTACTTTACTAGCAGCACCAGTACTTGGAGACTGATGACATGTATGGAGGCATGCAGCATATGCTTTAGCTTCTGTGGTACCCTTGAAGGTCCCAGCCCTGCTCCAAGGCACACCGCTACCACTAATCCTTTGACAGAGCACAGCAAGGTGTGGCATTAGCTTTCTTCAGTCTTTGGGGACTGAGGCTCCCATTCCTGGCACTGCAGCGTGAGTTCACCTTAAGCCAGCTTTAAAGGTAATATTAAGAAAGCATCACTTACTTGTACTTGTTGAAATCAGCTGCACATTTCACTTTGAATATGACCTAGGGGAAAGATTTGCACAGCATTACCCCATGTGACCTACAGTTCTCCTTTAAACTTAGTAAAGACATGTACAACAGGGGAGCCAGTACCCACTTGGACATTTTGAAGGACTCTAGATTATCTGCTAGCACCAAGTCTTGCATTGGACCCAGCTGCACAAAAGACTGGTAGTCTTTTTCTTGGAAGAGCTAAGCCCAAATGTAGGCATCCAACAGGCATAAATGTTTAAATACCCCATACGTGACAAGGACTTTTAACACCACTCCTAAGGACTTACAGAAAAGCAGGGAGTTCAGGACTCAGTAGTCACCAAGATAATTCAAAAATATATCTACTTTGTCCAGTGTTCTGTGCTGCATATTTTAGGACCTCAGTCATGCTTGATTCCCATGTTTGAGATGGCCTCTTCAGCTGCTGCACTTTAACAAGACAAATAGCTCATCTAAAATAGCCCTTTGGTATTGGATTATGACTTGCAGGCTCTAACAGCATTTGGAGCTCACAGCTTCTCACCCCTTAAGAGGTCTGTAGGCCAAATACACCTGAAAAAGTAACTCTTAAATAGTGGAAAGTCCTCCAGACATGGAAGGCCCAGACTGCCAAGTTGCACAGCACACTTGGCAGACAAGTGTTTTAGATGATAGCTATTTGCAGGCTCCCTCACTCTCCAAAGCAACACTCACTCTGTCCAAGAGTGGATCTTGGTTCTGTGAATCTTCTTGCCACACAAGGGATTAGGAGACTCAAGCTGAAAGTTGCACAAGGACCAGTGCTTCAAAGCACAGGTTCTCTGTCCTCTTTTCAGGCTGCAGGGGCCTGAACCCTTGTCTGCACCCTCAGCCATTTGTGTGTGGAAGGCTGGAAGAGACCGACCAGATCATATTCAGGCAGCCCTACAGCACTCTTCCCACTATGGCAAACTTCCATGCCCCTTTGGGCTGGAGGGGGCCTCCTGCTGAAGCACACAGGGGCAGACTTCTAGCCTAAGGAAGTATGGCCAGTTTAGGAAGGAGCAGACACTACAAAGTCACAGCTGAGATGTGAGTACCATGGTCCTACTGCAAGGGGACAGCTAACCAGTGCTCACACATGGCCAGGACAAGAAGCAGGAAAGCAGGATGTTGGCAGGGCTGCATAGAGCTTGCCTGTCACATGCTGGTAACAGCACAGCCATGGCAGAACTGGCTTTTGTCCTGTGAAAAGTGCAGATCCTCATACAGACCCCCACGAGGAAGAATCCTAGAGTTGAGGTCACATTCAGTATCAGACAAAGCCCATGGCCTGACTAGAGACTGCAGGAACTTGGGAAGAGGTAGACAGCCATTTAGCTAGATCTAGCAGCCACATACTGTGGTCAGCACAAGACCACTGTGGGATCACTGCATGTTGTAAGGGTTTAGTTTCATTGTTTCTGCAAGAAGTCCTTCCTGCTCTGGCTGTAGAGAGGGATCACTCATGTCATAAAGCACCCTTAGCCAGCCTGTTTTTCTGATGGGACTTCTTGGCTGCTGCCTTCCAGTCAGCACCAAGGTAGAAATGGCACCCTGAAGCTTTAGAAATCAGGCTTCTGCCAACAGAATTTCCAGAGACATTTAAGGATTCAAGGGTTGTCTGATCCATTGTGGTAGTTTCAAGCATTTGAAAGCCCTCCTACAGGGTATCGAACAGCTCCAGCAAGTCTGTGAAGAACCAGTTTCACTGTCTGCATCATCTTCCCCAGTCTGAGGGCCAACCACCTCAAGAAGTGCTTCGTGGGGAATAAGACAGCACCTCAGCAGAGGGAGGTATCCAGCCCCCGTAGCTGAGGGGCTCACTACCACAGGCAATCTCTGAAGTCCTCTTCGTTGTTGCCCCACTTTACACCAGCCCAGAGAAGTACAGAAGTGTGCCGTAATTCACCGAGCCCCAAAGTTCATCTGAGTTTCAGGAAACCTGGGCCTTGAAGGACCACATAGGGACTTCAAAACAGAAAAACCCCGGACTCCTTCTCTGTCCTCAGTTTGCCTGTAGGCTATATTCAGGTACTTAGGCAATGTAAAAACAGACATCAAGGACATCCAGCTGGAAAGCCTCATGGTTCAGCACCCATTCACACAGCACAGAAATCCATCTAAGATATCTGAACTTCTGCTCTGACTCCCAGAACAGCAACCTAACTACAGCCTCTAAGCAGCGGTGCAGACAGTTCATGCCTTGTATTCCTGCTCATCACCCTGGTTGAGAACAGCCCCTCAACTGAGCATGGAAATGCCACTGGCTAGCAGAAGGAAGATGCTGGCTTCTGCAGCAGCCCTGTCTCCCAAGACCCTCCCCTACAGCCCTGGGGACTAAGCACACAGTCTGAGCTGTGTGAGGGTTAAAAGTGCAACAGCAACCTGAGACTCACAGTTGGACTGCTGCCATGAAAAGCAGAGGGAGACCACTGCACCAGCTTTATACTTTTATTAGACCCCAGCTACTTAGTCCTATAACTCAAGGGAGAGAACAGGCATCTCTGTTTACACTGTTTTTAGTTCTTAAGACATGATACTCATCTGATGGTTGCTTTTTCTTCATAGGGGCTGGGTCAGTAGGTGACACCAGTAGCGCTCAACACATCTTTGGGTTCTTACTCTTGAGACAATCTTGGAAGCCTTTCAGCACTGGACTGCTGCTTTCAAAACCCAAGGACAGCTATGTTGAGGATTCTGCTGTGAAGAAGCCAGTGCAGAGAGCTCAGGAGTAGTCCCATTCTTCATAAAAATAGGAAATACAGACCCCTGCCCTCATACAGGTGCATTATGCCAAGTTGCTAGTAGCAACCCTTGCAAAATGAACAGTTCCTGCAGTTTGTAGCCGAGACCAGCCCCAGAAGTCATGCAGTCACCTGCTGAAAATAAGGAACAGAGAGGTTTCTGCTAGCAGAGTGCAGCAGAGCCGAGAACATTTATTCCTAAGCCAGCCTTTTGTAACACTTAGGCAATACTCTTGTCTTTCCAGAGCCACAAATAGTTTGAGAACTTCACATCAGCCACAGGCTTGATAAGAAGGCAAGGCTGGGAAGAGCTAGACCTCAGAGTCCCCCATGATGCTGGAAGTTTTCATGATGAGTGGATATATTTCACAAAACTGAATGCCTTGCTCACTTCACTGAGCCCAGAAAGTGAACTTGCTAAGGTTATGTTTTCAGAGCACTGTTTAAGAAACACTCATCCTTAGGTGTACTGGAGGTGGCAGCTGCTAAGAGAAGATGACAAGTGACAGACAGATCCCACAGATGGCTCTAAGGGCCGCTTTCAGTGGCTGTACAAGCCAGAACCTCAGGCCTAACACTGAGCCCTAGATAGCACTTCAACTTGGTTTTGGTACAGCCATTCACAACAGATCCAAGAGGTCCATGAGAAACAAAACTTTGACATTCTCTGCCTGATGAAATCAAAGTCTCCTTTGCTCCATAAAGAAATAATGAGCTCGGTGATACAAGAAGTTATATTACTTGACACAAGTTCGGCTCCAAATGCACAACATAACAGCGTCCTGCCTTGGCATGACCACAGCCCTCACTCAGTTGCAAGAACATCCACAGATTCTTGCCCCACACTCATTCAGCAGCAAGCATCAGAGCACAGCAACAGACTATTTTGGGACTACATCCCATAACAAGTGTTCAAGCCCCCAGCCACAACTCAGACACAAAGCTGGAACTATGCGTAAGGATGACCCCTCACCATCCCCACCGAGTTCATCCTATTCCATCACAAACACAACAAGGGTACAACTTGCATGTACCATGATTTCCTGGGATAGCTGGTTGCTGGCATGGCCACCTATTCATTCAGGAACTGCAGGGCGCATGGGAATCATCAGCTATGGGATAGAGCAATTTTGAGTTTAAGTGACCCCTCTGAGGCAGAGTACACATGCTAGGTGCACTTCTGTATGCTAGACAAGGAAGGTGGAAGAATGCAAGAATGGGTGACTGCTTTTCCAGTGTTCCATCTGAGAAAGCAGGAAGATACAGGACAGCAAGGACAAACAGCTCCCAGGATGGATGCTCTTTCCATGCATGTCTGCTCCAGTGCAATTAGAGCAGCAAGGGATGAAAGGGGTTGATGTCATCTAATCAGATGGAGCGCTTAAGGAAACCCAGACAGGTTAAGGGTTATGACCACACCAGTCTGGCAGAGCCTCACCACTCCCGCAGAAGGCCTTACTCATTGTTGCACACAGTTGCTGACTCCCAAGTGAGACAAGGATGCCAAGTGCTCATGAAGGTCTTTTGAAGGGTCAAGATGGAGGTTGTTTTGGCTACATTTCCATGTACTGTGCTCCTGACAATGACCTGGGGCAAAGCACAAATTGGCAGACTCTTGGGAAAGGTGGCATTACTCAAGCAGATGACTAGCTGGCAGTAGAGGAGCTATTCCAGAAGCAAGGAAGACACCCTGGGTTGGATGTCTAAGCCATTGTTCTGCCAGTTTTAGGCAAGATGGGGAGCAGATCTGAGTAATTCTGACCTGATGTACTGTGAAACTCCAGATTTCCTGGAAATCGACTCTAACAGCTGAAGCAGAAAGGGAGACACTCACAAGCAAAAGGCATTCTACCTTTTCCACGTGGAAATTCCAGGCAGTGGCAAAAAAACCCTGCAACCTCCAAATAAGCATCCTACACACATTTTGTCAGGCCTCTGCATTTCCCCAGGCACCGCGAGGGCTAAGAGGGGACAGGAAGAGCATAGCCTCACCCCACAGAAAGGGGTACACCACACAGCTTCTTCAGTTTGAACTTCAACCCCAGAACGCAAAATAATGCTAACTCTCCATAGGTATTTGTTGCTCCCTGGAGACCTTCCCTTATCCAGCATCATTTCATCCCCAGCTTGTACACAGCCTGAGGAGTTCTCTAAGTCAAGAAAGATTAGTTCAAATACCATAGCACAGGCCACATTTTCTTCCACTGCTTATACAGATGCCATTTATCCAGCATCTCCACAAAGGAGGCACTGTGTACAAAGACAATCAGCCAGGCCTTTAGCACAGAAGCAGCCTATGCTTTTATCTGAGGACATCTCAGAGCAGGACACCACTCCCAGAACAGCAGAAGCCTAGTACCCTTCTAGAGGTTGCTACCAACTAGCCCTTAAGCATTGGTAATGGTCAGGCCCTCCACAGCAGGTTTTGCTTGAAGTCACACTCGTAAACACACCAGTCATCTCTAGCTCTTGAGCCACTTCAGCTAAACTATTGTGGTACCACTGTAGTTTCTCTCCTCCAGGTAGTGAGGAATCTTGTTTAATTACACCCTAAGCCCTCTTACCACAACTCCTCCTGTGCTCCAAGAGCAAGGCAACAGAACAAAGCCAAGCCAGACACATCTCAGTTAGTTACCAGCACCCCTCTGCCTAGAATGGGCTAGTTTTATCAGTCTGTTGCACAAACAGAGGCTAAATATCACCACTCAGCATAATTTTTGTTAAAATGGAAACCAGAAAAGCACCGAAGGCTTTCAGTCCATCTAGCTGCACTCCTTCTCCAAACCTCTGCAGCTGCAGGCTTCTCTACCTGCCACCACTGGAAGACCACCCAACCACACCACACCGTACTGGACACCCGCTCTGCTTGTGACAGCCAAGGGCCAGATCCTCTCTGTAATTAAGCATGCGTACCCATCTTAAGTCATTTTATCCTTCCCCACTCTAGATTCTGAGCTCTTATTTCCTCAGACAAGATTTCCCTTGGCTCTAGGTTTTCAAGGAGAAAGAAATAGGGTATATTTAGCCAGAGACCACTGAAAAACAGATACCATGGAAAGAAGTGAAGGCTGAGAACCTATCTGAATTTACTTTGCCATTCTTTAAAGAAGCCTTTTAACAAGCATGCAAAGAGGTAAATCTGTTGTCAAGTCCAGTGACTTTGAGGAAAACCGAAATCCAGCCACTTCATGGTACCAGAACCTGGGATCCCTCCCTCAGCTTCTTCCAAGGGACAAACACCTGCTGGTTGGTAGGTCAGGCTGCCTTTAACAGCCAAGACGGATTATGCACACTATGCACCATTTGTTATTTTGCTGCCACTTGATCAGCAGCGTATCTAGCACCAAAGGTTTTGCAACAGGCAGTTTACCCCAGCTTCCAGGTGTGTGTGTCAGAGGGGAAAAAACAAAAACAGCCCAACAACCCAACCACTTCAAGTCACACATTATCATGTGAATGTTGATGTCCTCAGGAAAATGAAATCATAACTCCCATCAGTGACACACTGGAGCGATGGAGTGATTTCAGTGAGTGCTAGCGATTCCTTTGTGAGGCTGGCAAACAGCTGAGAGCTGCAGAGCAAAGAATCTGAACAACAACAACAAAGCTGGAAGGAAAGTACAGCCTATTTATGAAACAAGGCACCAAACTGGAAGACAGGCAAGCAAAGGGCTGCTCACGAGAAACTGGAGCAGAAACAAAATATTCAGAGGAGGAAGGGGAGGGGAGAGCTAAGGCTTTAAAAAGATAAAGACAAGTGAAAGGACTAGAGAACAGAGAATAAAAGAAATTAAAATCAGAAAAGCAAGTGATGGGAAATCCAGAAACAGAGGAATACAGCTCAGCAACAATAACAAGCAGGTCTGCACCGTCCCAGTAGCAATAACTGCACTAGGAAGGGGCCCACCTCTCCAGCCCCAGGCTGTTGTCTGGGGAGGCAGAGGGATCTCAGGGTTTTTGTCTGACAACAAGCTGCAGAGCAACAAGCTCAGTTCACAGCGGAGCGGAGAGATGAAGAAAAGGAGGGAGCGCAGCAACAATAGCAGAAGAGGCTCTAGCTGGTGACGTAATGGTTGGCATCACTCCAGGCCAGAGCAGCCCCTGCTGCTGCCACTTTCTGGTCCTCTTTAGAGAAGGGGAATCAATTAAAAGAAGATGCAAAACAATCCCTCAAGAGACCCCCATGGCGCTGCCACCCGTTGTAAGGGTGCAAAGGGGAAAGCCCCACCCGGGAGCAGAGCGCATCTCTTCAGCCCCCAACCCCAGAGTGAGAGCACATACCTGCCCCCTCCATGCCACCCCACAGGGCCTGCATTCAAAGCACAACCCTGCACCCCACACCACCCTGACGCCAGGATTCAGGGCACACTTTTCGCTCACCCCCCCATCCCACCCCACCCCCAAGCCTGAATTCAGGACATAATCTTTGTGCCTCCCCCCAAGCCTGGATCCAGGGCACAACCCTGCATCTCCCCATCCTGCCCTAAAGCTCACATTGAGGGCAGACCTCTCCCACTTAGCCTGGTCAGGGCACACCTCCAACCCTCCCACCCCCAACCCCCCCAACCCACCCTTCGGCTTCAGGGCACATTTCTGTGCACCTCCAAGTTTACGGGGGTGGCTGAAGAGGGGGATTTAGCCCCAGCGTCCTGCAGGGTGGGGGTTCGGTGTGTCTCTGCCCCCCACCACGGGAAAAACTTACCTCAGCGAAATAGAGGTTGAGGAGGCAGAGGCTGGAGAAGAGCAGGCAGCCGGGCAGGCAGTAAAGAAGCCAGTGGGCGAAAGGCTGCTGGAGGCGGAGGGCCTGCAGGGAGTTCTGCAGGTAGAATGAGAAGAGGGTGGTCCTGAGGGCTGCCCAGAGCAGGCAGAGGAAGAGGCAGAGCGTGTGGTAGCTCAGCCGCCGCTCCCGGTAGTAGAGGAGCAGCCAGAGCTGCAGGTAGGCGAAGAGGAAGAGGGCGGCGTAGAGCGCCGTGTGGAGCACGGTCAGCCCCAGCTCCACGGCGTAGGGCACGGCAGCCCCCTCAGCCAGGGCCGCCCCCTCGGCGAGGGCCGCCGCCGCCGTCGCGCTCATGGGGCAGCGGGAGGCAGCGGAGAGGCAACGGCCCGCCAACGGTCGCCGCGCGCGCCCGCCCCGCCCCTCAGCCCCGGCTGGACACCCCCATGCAACAAAGGGGAGCGCGCCCCCCCCCCAACCCCAACTCCTCCTCCGCTCTCGCCCGCCCTCCCGGCTGCGCCGCGCGCCCGCCCGCCGCCAAACAACTCTCAGCCGGGGACAATCAGCTGAGCCCGATTATTTGAGGCGCTCGCTCCTGACAGCGCGCGCTCCCCATTGGCTGCCCGCCGGCCCGCCCCCGCCGCGCCCATCCGCAGCGCTGAGTGGTTGCCGCAGCCCGTCCGTCATTCGCGGCCTCCCCCGCGCCTCGCCTCTTCTTTCTTTGGGTTGCCGCCGCCGCCCGCCTCCCCTTTGCGCGCTCTCCCGCCCCCCCCGCCCCGCCTACCCCGGAGCGGCGGGCGGAGGCGCAGCCTGACGGTCCTCCTGCCCGCCCGGCGGAGGGGGCTGCGTTGCTGCGGCACCGCTGGGGGGGAAGCTCCGTGGTGCCCGGAGGAAGCGGAGAGATTTCCCAGAGGGGGTCCCTGGAGCTGCTGCGGGAGTCAGGACATCCCCGCCGCGGTGAGTGCAGGCTGGGCCTCTGGGGATGCGGGGGATGTGCGAGTGTAGCCCAGAGACCGCCTTTTCCTGCGGGCAGCCATCCCTGTGGCTGTAGGAGGTCGGAGGTCATAGCAGCAAGGCGGGCAGGTTGGAGACCCCCGCTATAAGACATCTGGGCCCAGGTCTCGGACATCCCACCACCGGACTGACACACACACATCGGCTTCATTTTTGGCATCCCAGATTCTCCAGCCAAACAACCAGGCCACACCCAGAGGGCTCTGAGGCCTCGGTGTGGGATGCTCTGCTAGCAGCCATGGTGGAGGGACGAGGACGTCAGCCCAAGTGCTCAGGGCACCCAGGTAGGTGACATCCCTAATCCATCTTGGAGAGAGATCAGCAGTGTCCACCCAGTGCCACCTGCTTTCCAGGGACATTGTGGGGCTAGTCCCTCATCCCCAGGGACATGCTAAACTAGGGCAGTGGCAGTGGGTGATGCTGTGGGCTGTCTGCTGCACATGGGCATCAACACACTTGTCTCCTGGTCCGGGCAGAGAAGGGCTGCAGCATGTCCCTCCTGCAGCATGTCCCTCCTGCAGCCTTGGCTAGGAGGTGAGGCACAGCAGGGCTTCTGGATGCTGGGAAGTGGTACCTGGAAGTGAAAATGAAACTCCCCAGGAAGTGGCAGGAGATGGGGCAGTGTGAGAGCATCACTGCCAAAAAACCCAGACAGCAAGGTCTAGGCAAGAGGCTGGGACACGCTTTGATGTCAGTGTGTTTCCCACCTCTGCTGGTCCTTAAGAAGCATCTCTGTGCTGCAAGATGCTGCTCCCACAGCTTGCCACAGCCATCCTTGTAGCCGTCCTTGTCCCCTGGCTGCAGGCCTGTATGTTGGATTTGCGCTGAAAAATCTGGCACCTCTGGTGCAGTGGGTCAGAGGCTGGAGTGGGGCTGTGGCGCAGGGAAGAGCTCCGTTATCATCTGACATGCTGTGCCAAATGTGCCTCCAGTGTCAGAGCTGCCCTGGAGCAGATTTGCACTGCAGGCTGATTACACAGCAATCTGCAATGTACTTAAAATGCTGCTGGTTGGAAAGTGTGCCTGCCTGGGCACAAAAGGCCTAGCAGTGCTCTGGCTTGAAACAGTGTTTCTGGTTATATGCAGGGTAGATGCCTTTGCCACACTAGTTTTTGGCTGGAAGCAGTGCATGCACCTGCTGTGGGTCCTGGCATTGCAGCCTGGTTGGGAGGCATGTCAGGGTGTCCCGTGCAGGTGGAAACATCTTCCTGCAGCTGCAGGGTCATGGCCACCACAGGACATGATGCAGGGATATGGCTGTAGGGGCCTCGCAGTTGCAGGTTGCAACCCCTGGCTTCTCCGCAGGCTGCTGGGTAGAAGGGGTGGATGGGAAGGGCCAGCAGGTATTTCATATTTCAATCTCATGATTGTAGGCCCATCCTGAAGCAGCAGAGAACCATCTTGGTGCTGTTCCAGCCCCAAACACTGGGTAACTGCAGCTTTTTTTGACCTTATTCAAGTCAGCTGGGTCAAAGAACTTGCTTGGGAAAATTGGAAAGGAGCTGGATTGAGTTCTGTTCCAGCAAAACTGGGTAGTGATAATAAGCCTGGCTTGTCTGCTGATTAAGAAAAGGCTGGTTCTGGCCACTTTTCCAAAGATGAGCAGGGAAAGGGAGCGTATAGTGAAAAATACACAAGCTAATGCAATATGTGGTAAGGAAGTGAGGCTGTTCCTGGGCAGCCATAGTATTTGCCAAACTAACACATACGCTCACACAGGACAAAAAAAAAAAGACTTAAATATTGCTTGACTTATGCAATATTTCAACAGTTGTCAGCAGAATATGTCAACAGTTGTTAGGCATGGGACGTGGGGCTGGTCTTCTACAAGTGACAGTTTCATGTAGTGGGTTTACACTGGAGAGCCGCCGTCATCCACATATGCTTCAGTGGGATCCCAAGGATGCTTTGTGTGTCCCTGAAGAGCCAATTTATCATCTACTTCAGGAGAAGAGATCTGCAGAAAATACAGCTGTTGGGACAGCTTCCATCTTCGGACAAGCTGGCTGCAGGCAATTTGGGCATGTTTGGGAAAGACTTGCTGGTCAGATCGTGACAAGCAGTTGGTGAGATTCATGTGGATCTGAGAGTGGAGGGCTGGAACAGAGAGCTTTTCAGGGAGTTTATCTGGATCTCCTAAAGGAAACCTGTGTGCAGAGTCCAAAGTGCAAGAAGTTCTGTCAGTGTTGTTTTTTTCTTGTGCTTTTCAGCAGCAACAGGAAGTATATTTGTCCTGGGGCATGCAGCCGTGCTGATGAGTGTGCATCAGCCAGTGTAGCCTGCTGTAGCTAAGGGCTTGCATCAGCCCCAAGTCGATTTGGGGTCTGTTATGTTTCCTCTCTGCCAGCAAGTCTGGGAGGGCAGCACACTGGTTAACTGCTGCTGGAAGGGCATGAAAAACATATGAGCACATTGCCAAAAAAACTGTCCTGCTGCAACAAAAGGCCTGATCTGTGTCAGTCATCACAGAAGAGGTAGAAGTGACTCCATTTAGGAACATTCTAAATGCTCCTGCTTTAGGAGCTTCTACCTAGGGAGTTAAAACTTGACAACTTAGGGCTCTGCAGGCTGGAAGATACTGATATAATGAGATAAAATGAAGGGGAAGCAGCTGGGTAATGTATTTGCTGATAAAGTGCCATTTTTTTGCAAGAAGGTAATTGATCACTGGGAGCAAAATACTCTGCTGAGGGGTGTGTGGGATTTTACACTGGCAAATGCCAAGTCCAGGTTGGTTTCCAGGTGTTTTTCCTGAGTTCAGGGAGGCCCATGGATGATGGAGATGGTATCCGGCTGGCTGTGCAGTCTGTGATTTCAGTATGACAGTAGTTCTTACTTGTCTTGAGAGCCTTAAAACCCACCCCACATCACCATCCATTGAATGAAATGTGGCTGCAGCTTCCTTGGTGATAAATATTGGCATCTGGGGGCTTTTGAGGCAAGGTGTCAGGGAAAGCAGCTGGGATCACAGTGGTGATAGAAGGATCGAGCCCCTGGTTACTGCTGCAGGATTCCCAAGCAGAACTGATGTGGCATAAGCAACTTATGCCAACACAAGATTTCATGATGGGTGTCTCTGGTGTATTTGGTTTCATTTTAGTTCATCTGCACTGGCTTCAACCACCTTGCCTGGCTCTGTCTTGGAGGTATGACAGTGAAAACATGAACCAAGTCTTACCATCTGTGCTGTGCTGGGTTGCCCCATGATCCATGGATTTAAGGGTTTCCCAGCAGTGACACAGGGCTGGTTCACACTTCCTTGGTATTTTAACACGTCTCTGGTAATCCTGCAAGTGGCTGCAGTAAAGGGTTCTGGCTGTTACCAGCCCTATGGTGTTAATTTTCCCTTTATGGAAATGAGGTGACAGAGGAAGTGACCTTAAAGCTGGATATTCGAGCATGGATTGTTGGGGCACAGCGGGAAGCTGCTGGGCAGGATGGAGTAATGAGAGATGAGAGAACATGAGCAGAGAAGGGATGAGCACACATTTTTGTGTGAAAGGTGAGCAAAGCATGGGGAGAAAGCTGGGCTGAGGGTGGTGGAACAGAGCGAGGAGTCGTGGTGGGCAGACTTTGGGAGAGGTGCAAGGAGAAGAGTAGCAATGTCACAGCATGTGGATACGGCAGAAAGTGGAGCTTCTGCTTCTCCAGCAGTCAGATCAGGTAAAGTTCTAGGTATAATTCCATGAAGTCTTTGAGGCATTGGAGGCTGCTCCTCTTTTTCCTTGACAGTAAGCTTTCCCATTTGACTTGGGCTGGTTCCCACATACCAGCATTGAATTTATTTTTCCATCGATGCTGTAGCCAAGTTTAATAAATTATTAGTCATTTATTAGTCATTTAATAAACAGCACCCTCACACTCCAATCTCTGTCCCCACTGTAAGCCAGAGGAAAAGATGGGAGGGCAAAGGACCAGAAATGCCTGGTACTTCCCAAAGCTGGAAAGGAGAAAATGAGATGAAAATTAAAAAAATAAATCATGGCTTTCTCAGCTCTGTCTTTTCTCCTTTGTGCTGTTCAGGCCTGATCCAAACACCTCACCTATATGAGGGGGAGCCTGTGAAGGCTGAGCATGCCTGGTTGTCATTAACATTTCATTCTTGCAGCAAGGCAAGAGGGATTTTGTCTGCTCGTTTTTGAGCATTTGAGTTTGGGCTCATCACAGAGCAGCGATAGTAAGCTGACAGCATCTGACAGGGTGTTGGAGGGAATGACAGTCCATGGACACAGGGGTGTTTGTTAACGAAAAGAGCTGCAGCTCATGATGCAAAGCAAACCACTTCTACATGGCTTCAATTCCGCCTTTGTGCCTTTGTTGACCAGGGACCAGCCATGCCGCAGCACATCCAGCAGCAAAGACCAATAGCTGAAGAGCAGGCTGCGAAGGAGCAAGGGAAATGAAGTGGGAAGAAGATGCACTACTCATCCCGTAGTGGTTGTCC